AATACACACACATACACACACACAAACACTCACTCACTTTGAATATTCAATCTAATCCACTTTTTTTTTTTTTTTTGGTTTTTCTCCGGTACCGGGAACTGAACTCATGACCTTGCGCTTGCCAGGCAGGTGCTTTTGCCGCTGAGCTAAATCCCCAGCCCCAACCCCCTATCTAATCCACTTCTGATAATAGATCAATCTTGGTAGAGTTGTTTGGAATGAGTTATATATCATCAACATTTTTCAAAAATTGGTGAAATTCAATCAATCCTCATCAGAAATACCACAAATCCAATTTTTGTTATTTGCTTATGTATATTTCTATTTAACAAGAAGAAAAGCTGTTTAGAGAATCTATTATGTGATACCTTTTTGTTCAGCAATTCCATAGAGATCCTTCTGTCCCTAACATTTTAAATACTTTATACTGAACTCCACCTCATAATAAATTTTAAGAAGTCACTTCAGATTGGCAGTGTTAAGGAGATGGCATTTAATCTCCTGTTGCTTCATGTCCCCATTCACTTGGGACACCACTCTGTGGACATGCTTGCTGTTGAGGGTGAGTTCCCGTCTCAGGGAGATTGGTCCCTGTCCTTGCATTTGGCACTTGACCTTATTCCTTGACGCAGTGGCCCAGTGGATCTGAGACATCATCCTGTAGCTCAGACACCCAAAAGGACCTATAAATGTCTTGTTTTCTTTCCTCCAATGTGAATGATGCCACCCCTCAGGCAGTTGGTGCTGGTCTGCAGCTGCCAAGGCCATCTGTCTCTACAAAGTGAGTGCCACAGATGGGAAAGCTTACACAGCATGCTAGCCTGGCCTTGTGCATCCAAGACAAGTTCCTTGTAGACCTGCTCACTCTCCTGCTCCAGATACCTCACACTGTACCAATATGCCACTTTTAACTAAAATGCCACTCCCCAAATCCAATTGTAAAAGAAAATCAAGAGGGTGGCTGTGCTTATTAAAGTAGGAAATATCCAACTTACAACGGGTGGATTTTCATGAGTCAGCCATCCCAGGGCCTTCACAATAGTAAGGGGTTGTTTTGCTAGAAAGGTCAATCTCACCTTTGATTCGGGGCCATCAGACAACCCTGGAGGCCCAAACAGACATCCTCTCTGCCATCCCCAATGCACTATTGACTGAGCTGTGCTGGATTAGAAATGGCTTCCTGAAACATAAACCCAGATTTCCTGTACAGAGTTGGATAAAGTTAACTGAGGCACTTGCCAAATTTTCATTTAACGAAGACTTCTTGATAATAGTCTTTAATCTAATTTTCATCCCTTATAGTTTAATGTAATTCCATTGCATTAAAATACAAGCAAGCACAATATAAATCCAAAGTGACAGGAAAAGCTCCCCTGTGCATCCCCCTTTACCTCTTGTTCTACTGGGATGATAGCAGGGAGACATCCTGGCCTTGGAGAATCCATGTTTCCCTGTTGGCTGAAAAAGGATTTCCAGAAGAATTCCAGCTCTGAACTGGGTCTGCTGCAAGCTTGGGGAGGAGCGAGTTTATATGGGAAAGCTGTGTTCCTGTTTTTCCTAAGTTCCTGAGTTTCCTCTAAGTGGAAATGGTGACTAATTAGTGTGCTCCATGACAAAGGATTACCTAGTAGATTCTCTTCAGGCACTTCTTGGAAGATCTCCGAGTCTTTAGTGGGGGTTGGGCAATGGAAACTATTGAGGGATTAATTTGTGGGAATTCTAATCCCACCTGTCACCAGCTTCCAGTTGCAGGCTGTAGGGGGAGAGACCACTCATTATTGGGAGAAGCACTGTTGTAGGAGAGGCTTTCTGGGCACTAACAGAAATCTCAAGGGCAAACAAAGCAGGGAAATGGGGGACCCATTCCCTAGAACATTTTCATCAGCTTTCCCATATCTGTCTGTAGTCTAGAGGCAAGCACAGGAGAGAGTTTCCGTTCTGCCAATTAAAACCAGTCACTCTAGCTGCTATGCCTGAAAGCCAGCTCAGGTACTTACTTGCCCTATTACAATATAGACTGGCCACAGGAAACTTTATTAAAGAAAAGTACAATTTTTTTTTGTCACAGTGCCCAATCATACAATACTAAGAAAACATGACTTGGTGGGGAAAACTCACATGTGCAGGAAGAGGCATAAATCATTAGAGAACAGCAAGCTAGTGAATGACTATCCTAAGTACATTTTAAAATTAAAATTCTCTTTACTTAATATGAGCACTTTAATTCAGTTGTCTTTTATTCCTTTGGTATTTCCATGAACCAAAGTAAAATAGTCAAGTTACAGTATCATTTAATTTTACTTAGTAGTGGATACCCTGTGGTACAAAAATATAAGACTTTAAAGAGTCTGGAGAAAATATTAAAGCCTTAATTATGTGTTATCCATGAATTCTTAATTCTTAAATTCCATTGCATTAGATACTAAGCCACTGAAACCCACTGAGTTGCAAGCATTCTCCCGTTGAAGGAATTGAGTCACCTTTGGTCACTGACATGGACTATGGTATTACTTCCACAAGTCTATTGCTTAAGAAAAAGAAAACCTAGGAAAGGGAGGCTCTGCTAAAAGGATTCTTTGAAATCCAATTCAACAGAGAAAAATATTGACTCCTTTTTCTGAAAGTCAAATATTAACATAGAAAGATTTTTTTTTAATGAAAAATCAGGGATTATCGCTAGTAAAGGGATTATTGCTGCTACAGTATTAATACATACATTGCAACCCAGTTAAATGCTTTCTTTAAAAGTTGGAAACAGTTGCCTTAATTCTGTAATGATGTTAATAGAAAGAATAACTGTGATGATAATAGCTGGCATTTACTAAGTGCTTACCTTGGGGTATCTCACTTAAATTCACAATTAGCCTAGGAAGAGGTAGGGAGAGGATAAAGAGGGGATCCTTTGGGTCAACGTGTCCATTCAGCAAGGGTCTACTGGGCTCTTCTGAAGCCAGTTTGCTGGTTGTGCATGGTGGTTTGTGACAATCTCCAACCTCAGGGAGTTTGCCTGCCCTGCCTAAGGTGGACCTGTACTTATTTCTGACTCGAAAGCAAGTTTCTAATCCCACAATTTAGAAGTAAATTTACTTCTATCAGTTGAAATCCTGAGGCTCTAAACTAAGTCTCAAATATTCAGCAATGGAAATGCAACAGGCTAAAAAGGTTAACCCGGTAATGTATCTTGGTAGCAGATGGGAAGATTACAAATGAGGGTAGTGGGTAAGAGAACATGGATAGGAGGTCTGTGCTTCAAATGTCAAAAAAGATTTTTGAAATTATACGCACTTTTAACCCAGGAACTCAGTAGTTTCCCAAAGGAGACCTGAAATGGAGGTGCAAATGGGGCCTGGAGGAGGGGAAGTGCTGGAGGGCGGGCTCTTTGGCTATCATACACCAGGGTGCAAATAAAGAGGTACAAGTAGTCAGCTCCTGGGCAAAAAGCTCATCACCTCTGGACAGGTACTGACTTCTGAATCTCTTGCTGGGTTTGAGACTGTGTTGGTGCAGCTGGAAAAGCCCAGCAAACACCTGTCACAGGATCATTCAGCTGGATAACTACTGACTAATTGACTGGCTGAAGGTGAATTGGCCAAGAGGCTGGGAAATCCTAGGATGGGCAGAAGGCAAGATGATTGTAGAGGAGCCAGCACTGAATGGAGAGTCAAGGGGTGCAGGGGTCACATGTTTGAAACAAACCAGAGTCCACCTCCCATGTTTTAGAAAGAGATTACTCTGTGGAGTCTGACCCTCATTTTATTTCAACATGGTAAGTATATTCATAAATTATTTGGACTTACTTCTTTTGAATGGCATCATATTTAGTTTGTTTTTGAGCCAATATAAACGAGGTAACACTTCTCCTTAGAATTCAGAGGCAATAAAGAATTGCAGACTTCGTGCAATTAATTCTATATCCCAAAAATATTATTCCTTTAATAATCCTCCTCTTTAATCTCACCACTGACATGTACCCAAGTAGCCACTCAGAATATTTGACTTCCAACACAGAATATAGCTAGCAAAATTGGTTTGGTAGGTAGCAAATAGTCTTCCTTCTTCTTTAGCTTGATAAATTGTTGATTACATTTCACATTCCTTATGGCAAAACAGCCATGCAACCCAAATGCCTTCTGTCACACCAGGAACAAGCATAAACATTTGTGCCCAGATGGAATAGCGCTGCTAAAGGTCCCTATCTAAAAGAAAGTGCCAACCAGGGCAAAAGAACTGATCCAATGACCTTAAAAAGAATTCTGGAACACATATAAAGTGTTTCAAACAAGGTTATAAAATTAGGTAGTAAAACTTAGTTGCCAGCACCACGGTGCTAAAGGCAGAGAACATGCAGAGTGTTTCATGCATCACCTGCACACAGGCTATAACCACTTCAGAAGCTCTCAGATTTCCTTCCCTTGATTTCTCTAGGAAACTTAAAGCATTAAATGGATTAAGTAGATCACAAGGCAGTTATGGTGTTTAAAGTTTTCTTTTTCTAAGGATATCAAAACCATGGAATTTTGTTGTTGCCTGGACTCCAAAATGCATTAAATATGTGACACCAACTGGCTTTTACTAAGAGGGTAATCCAGGAAAGCACTTTTTCAATAGTTTTTTGCCCAGCCAATCAATTTAAGAAGCAATCGCCATCTGAGCAATTACATGCCACCACGTGCCCTAATAGGTGCCCAATGTGTGTCACTGAGATAAGGCAAGACCCTTTTAAAACTAGCAACAAATCAGAGAAAGGAAAACATGTGGAAATTGTGTTCTCAATAATATGTTTCAGGATACTGAGGAGCCAAATTTTTTAAAAAATGTAACAAAAAGGTGATATGAGCCTGCTCGTACAGGTTGAAGTATAAAATCCAAATGTCACCTGCTGACCATATGGCCTTTTTTCTTAAGAAGATAAGCCTTTTCTAACAATGACAGCCCGCATGCATTTTTTTTAGCCATTTAACTACGCAGCAGAAAAAATTTTTTTGAAGTTTTGTACTCACCAAGGAAAAACAAGGACTATCGTCTGAAAAGGAAAGAAGAAAAAAACGTTAGTTTTTTGGTTGGTAGGTACTTAGGTTGTTGATTGCAGCTATTTCTTTATGAACAGCACTGGTTGCATATGCTCACTTTTGCTTCATTGTTCAGAATCATCTGGGGAAATTTTTTATCTTGACAGTAACTTCTTCTTGCTGTAATCATCAGCTTTCAACAGTGTCCTACCCAAACTCTGCTATGATCTCTAGTTGTCAGTTGGTGGTGGAGTGTGATCACGGGCCTAGCCCCAAAGTGCTTTGGTGTCCATCCTCCAGGACCCTTCAACAGTCTGCTGCTCCTAACATAGCATGTACAGTTTGCTTCACCCTGAAACAGCCCCCTCGGTTCATCTTCCTTAAAGGTGGCCTTTTGAAGCCTAGCTGGGGAGAGTTCCTCACCCCCAACTTACCCAGTATCATCCTTATCTAGCCTGGCCATTGATTTAGCTCTCATGTTCTTTTACTTAAATAGTCTTATTAAGATATAATTTACACACCATGAAATCCACCCTTCTAAAGTAGGGAATTCAATGGTTTTTAATATGTTCACAAAGATCACAAACATCACTATAATCTAATGTTTTAATAACATATTTTCATCATCCAAAAACAAACTCCATATCTGTGAGTTCATTAGCACCTGAGTCCCATCCTATCATTATCCCCTAGAAACCACTAATATACTTTCTGTCTCTGTGGATTTCCTAATTCTGCAACATTTGATATAAAAAGGTCATGTACAATATATGTGGCCTTTTACAACTGGTTTCTTTCACTAAGTATAGTAGTCTCTTTTTTAAGCATAATGTTCTTGAGGCCCATCCACATTGTTGAATGTACTAGTACTTCATGGACAAATAATATTTTATTACCATATTTTGTTTATCCATTTCTCAGTCGATGTACATAGCTTGCATGTTCTTGTGTGAGTGGCCATTATGGCAGTCTCATATTAGGGCTATTAGCCTGCTGTTTAACTGTGGGCAGAGACTATGCTCAGTTTTGATTGTGCATTTATACTGTCGAAAGGGTGGAATCATGTTTTGATTGTCACTATTTTAAAATAGGTAATGCAGTACATGATGTTTTCTGCCAAAAGAGACTACATGTTCTCTTAGTCCTGGCAAGGCTATTCTAAACTAAATACAATAAAGATTTGCAGTACAAAATTAAAACAAGTTGTTATAAATCAGTATATTGTTATAAATTAAAATAATTGACTCATGAGGTAAGTTCAAAGCCAAAGAATCAGAAGAAAGAGTTCTGTTACTAAGGGATTTTTAAATCTACTTGGATAAATCAATAGCTAACACTGTTCATAATGGTGGACACTGAATGCTATTCTCCCAATACTGGGAGCAAAGCACAGACATCTGCTCCCACTACTCATATTTAATGTTGTACTGGAAATTTTAGTCAATGCAATATGGCAAGAAAAACAAATAAAATATGTAGGGCTTAGAATGGACAAAGAATAAAAGTTTTATGTTCAAATGATATCATAGTCTACATAGATAATCCAAAGAATCCACCAAAAGTTACTAAGACTATTATGTGAGTTTAGATCACAGGATGAAAAGTGAATAAATAAAAAATCATTGGTATTTATATATACTGACAATGAACTATTGTAAACACAATTTTAAAAATACTCCATATAATGCCACAGCATCTACTAGGTAAGCTGTACAAGACAGCAGGGAGATAACCTGCTGAGTAACGTATAAAGTCAAAAGCTTCCTAGAGTGCTGTGAAGTCCTATGTAGCATAAAGCACAAGAACAGAGCAGACAACACTGAGTGTTAGGCAGGAAGTGGTAACTGATGATCACTGGGGACAGGCAAACTACTTTTGTGTAGAATAATTTATTTCAGGAGTCTACTCCTGCCATTCCCTCAAAAGCCAGGAAAGATGCCAAAAGGAGTGACTTGTGATGTTTGTCTGGAGTCAAGAAAAGGGAGAAACCCGAAGTAGATATTGCCTTGTTCCAGAGGGGTGGATAGAAATGCTCAAAACTAAATTCTAATGCAGTGCAGATTCATTTTCATGTAAGATAAAACCCAAAGGTTTGCAGAAGCTTCTGGGACAGGGCTATAGGTGGAGGTCACAGGCTTGAGTCAAACCAGACTCAGAATATAGGGAAAAAATCAGTCTGGTGAATAAATTTGTTGATGGTTAGATAAATAAGTGAATAAGCAATTGACAAAATTCCAATCAAACATACCAGTAACTTTGGAATAATTTTTTTGAACAAAGCAGGAATCACTAAACAATGGCTATTTCAAATAGACTATGTGTTTTACTGTTTTGTGGTTCATATATGATTGTATGGAAACTGTGACTATCAAATTTCTCTAAGTATAGAATTACAGCCAAAACTAAACAGCCAAATGTCCTCTACAGTAAGCTTTTACTAATTGAAGATTTAAAAACTGTGAAAGAAGTACAGAGAAAAAAATGGAGTTGGGGAGAGTGGTTCATGTGGGCAGATCTGAGAAGCTGCATCAGTGAGAAGTTTGCACAACAACCTTCCACAAACTAGACACTTCCTGCGCTTATCTTGAAGGGCAATATCCTCCAAAAAGGGGAAGTAGAGACGATGTTAGATTCACTGTGTCTGTCAAGTTCCTGGTGGGCTGCTTGCGGTGTCTCACCCACATCTCACCACTGTCTTAGGAGGCAAGAAGAACCACTGTAAACACAGAGACAGAATCTTGGTGAGGGTCACAGAGCCAGGCAGCAGAGCAGCAGGGAGGCTCACCCAACCCATCTTTGGCTTGGCCTCTGGGGAAAGCATTCTGCACTGTAATTCACTTTTATTTGCTTTTGTTTTGTTTCTTTTGTTGGCTGTATTATGTCCTGAGGTAAAGCTGTAACTCCTTCACAGCAGGCCCTGACCTCCTGTTTAATTCCTACTGTCTGAAACACTGCCTACAGCAGCAAGTGCCTTAGAAAGGCATTCTGCTAAAGATAACAATGACAGTGGATCCTTTATTCCATAAAAACCCTTCTAGTTCTAGGGAGAGCACCACTGTGTTCTATGCTCTATCAATATATGGAAAGATATACTGGCCATTGTCTTTCCAGTAGAGAGAAGAGTGAGTTTGGGAATGACATGGCTCACAGAGGCCTGGACCAGCCTGGCCATAGAACTGGAGCTTAGGCTGGTGGATCCCCAGAGCACAAAGCCACACCATTCTGCTTCCAAGGAGAGAGCAGGGAGGAAGCCCAGCCCACCCTTGGTGACAACATCAGAACAGAAATCCACCCTAAGGAAGGTGGAGAGGGCAGCAAGTTCAGCTTAAAGGGTTAGCACTCCTAAAGGAAGTGCCTGATGGCTGGGCTTTGTCCTGATCGTTCACAAGATAAGGAAAGACCAACCCAGTGAAGTTACTGTGCATACAGACCTTGCAAAGAAGAAAATAAAACTGCAATGTTCAGAATCAGTCCCCTGTTTTTAAGAGAAAAACTGAAGCTATTTCTCAGATGGACAAACATGGTCAATGTTGCCAAACTCAGACAAAAATAAAATGTCTTTTGTACACACTGGTGGCCTAAGACATTGTTAGCATCTGAGTGGGCAGCAACGATATTGCTTATCAACAAGCTTCTCCTTTGAATGGATAGCAATGTTTAAAAATTTTTGGATGCACATTTGCACTTTATTTTAAAATGTTTACATACACATTTCAACATGTATAATGTAACTTAATTGTGAACCTTTTATGATGGGTTAAGATTTGAAAAGCAAGCACATACAAAACTCTACTGCATGTCATTAAATACTGAGGATGCTGGTCTCAAAGAAATCTCACTGTGAATGACCAGACCCTTAGGTCAAGTTCTGTGATCCTGGCTGCATTGTCTTGGGCTCTTATTTTCCCCGAAAGACACTGGGCTGCCCTGAGCAATGAGTCAGAGCTCTGGGATAGCAAGTCACTCCCTCTCAATCAGGGTAACCCTCAAGTACAATGACCAGGACCATAAATTTACAGGGGTTGGCCCAATTGAGCAGGGCAATGACTACCAACAGGAAAATGACAGAGACCCAGTCACATGATCCCATGCAGTGGGAATGGATGGAGCCCTGGCAATGGCCCTCTGGCTGTCTCTGTAGACTGTCAGACAACTTTGCTTTGCTTCCAGAAGGGTTTTCAGATGATCAGGGGAAGTGCATAATGCTTCTGAATCATCTAGGCTTCAGATTCTCACTGATACCATACTCTGCCAAGTCCCACAGTTTCCTTGTTTACCTTCCAGGCATCAGCAAAGCTGTTAATTTCTGAGTTTTCTAATGCATGAAAGTCTGGAAGGAGCTACTGATCCTGGGGGAGGGAAGCCTCCCCACAATGAAGGAATTGGGTAAAATCTAATTAGGCCTACCCCACAGGCTCAAGCCACACTGAGAAGGAGGTGAAATCTATAAAATGAAGTTGGTAATACTGGGGAAAAATAGTACCCATTTTCTCTACTATCCATCTTGTCAGACCAAGACAAGCAAGCAAGACTTCTAAATATTTGGCAACTTTTAGAAATTATTCATGGGCAGCTGCTCAGCAAAGATCCACGCGCACCCTGCCTGCGCCTTAGCACAACCCTCCCCATCTCCAAGTATACACACAGGCTCTTCTCTAATTACTCCCGGAGGGGGTACCCTCTTTGGATAAGAAAACTATGCAAATTAGCAAAGCAGAGAAATCTTTTTTTTGCAAGTACAAATGTCTGTTGGTTTCTATAGTGCCACGTCTGTCATCTGTCTATGGCATTACCATCAGTGTGGAATTCAGGAGCACAGCAATTTGAATCTGGTATTCTCCCAGCCCTAGAGGAGAGGGTACACACACCTTCTCACATAGCGAGAGTCACTGTTGTGTTTTTTAAGAAGTCTTTGCCCCATGAGCAGCTTCTTTGCAGGGCTCCAGTATTTGAAAGTGAGATATGATGTGAACAGCCACATTAAGAAAAGGGACATCACCATCACAACAGATAC